TCGTTTTTGAATATGAATTATACGTAAACTAAATGCCTTTAATTATTCGTAACTTTCTGAACTTTTTGATAGTGAATTGGCACACCCTAGTTTCAATAGCTGCACATCCATAATAACCGGTTGCATAAACGAGCTTCTATTGCCAGCGCCGCCCTGATTTTTTCTCTTGCTTTAAACTTTTTATAACTTAATGCAAACATTTACAATTTGCCACTGGCGCATGTGCATCTGTTTATGTTTTTATAATTTTGATATGATTTTTTTTATGTCGCTTTTTATCGCTTCGTAGCTGTACTTTGCTATAGATGTAAATTTTTTGCTAATTACTAAATTATTGCCCGCTGTCAACAAGCTCGATAACCGATGTAAACCAATATTTGTTGGGACCTGAAGATTTGAACCCGAAATATCGAGTCTAAAGCAAGTTCATATGCAAATGGCTGCGATGATATTATGAACCTTTCGCGGGACGGTAAATTTCAGTTGATTTGCTGATTCATAAATATTCATAACATTTTTATACAGGATTTACATGCTTGTGTGACATAGCACTACAAATAAACATAATTTATTTTTAGTATTTAGTATTCAAGTACCGTGTCATTTCTAAAATAATTTATGTACTTTGTGGTTTGAAAATTGCAATCATGGAATATGGAGTATTTCCATACAATAATCGTTATTCCCAGAAAGCTGCCTACCATGAGAAGATGTTATTCTTTAGATATCTACAAATGTCTATTATAATTATAAAAATTATTCCTGTTATGATCGACCTCTTAACCTTACCTAATATTGAGCCTTCGAAGTACAGCAATATTTAAATTTGAATTGCATGAAGAGTGAAATATTATGTGTTAAATATATAGTAAAACAATCTATCAGAAATTTGTCTATATATTCGTATTCATTTATGAGAAGAAGGAAATGGGTTTTAATGTTACTAGTAGTTTTAATGGTATTTCTAGTAGTTTTAATTTTTACAAAATTCTCGTAAGACCATCTACTATTGGTAACAACTTAAAATTTCCTTACATAGACTAATAAGAGTTAATATAATATATTACTGGGCTTGACATATTTTCTTGGCGTTCCGTTGCATAACCCTTTGAATCCAAAGCTATCTTTTGTGAATGAAGCCTTCTGATTATGTTTTTAAATGTTTTCGGGCAAATGACTCCCGCGGCTGGCTTGAACAAATGCAGCTCGTATGCCAACAATAACGCGCCGAGTATTATCTTCAAAGGCGTCAATCATCTGGGGTATATCTGCGTAGATAAACGACTTCAGATAACCTCACAAAAAAGCAAGATCTTGTACCATATTGGCCACGCCACAGACCCACGACTCGAGGTAATGCGCCCACCAAAAGCTTCCTTCAATAAGCAGATTATTTCATTGGTTTTATGCGCTCACCAAGAGCTTTCTTTAATAAGTTGATTATTTCATTGGCTGTATGGTATGTAGCGCCATCTTGTTGATTGTTAAAATCAAAGGTTATCCACATAAGCATCCTCCAATTCAGGCACGAAAAAGTCATTAGTCAGGACTCTACATCGTTCCTCACTGTCTGTAACATTATGGACGGATTTATTTTTGAAGAAATATGGATTATAGATTTCCTGTGCCAATGGGGCTTACTAAACAGTGACTACAAATGTGACAATTTTAATATTAACGTACCCATTCAACCAAAAGAAAGACCATTCACCGAACGTGCGCCGCGCTAGATGATCGTTCGGCTTCAATTCTTGCACGAGTTAGATTTTTTAATCCCTCAAACCAAGATCCTTCCGCATAATCTTCCACAATGTGGATAGGAACATGCTGCGCGGGACGGAAGATGGACTTATTCGGGTCTTCTTCGATACTGTGCTCCGCAGCAGCAATAGCGTCTGTGTCAGCTCCAAAAAAAGTATTGCCTCATTGGAAACCACACGTCTAAACAAACATTTGTAATAATAATCAATTAATTATATCATTATTGTTCGGAAAGTTCCTTAGTAATTTATTATGAATGTTAAACAATTTCGCAACCTTCAACCAATTAAATTTGTATACAGTTAGTAGGTGTTGTCGTCTAAGCACTTAACTATACGGTTTTAGTGATAGTCTTCGTGTCCACAGAATGATTACAAGCTAAACTATGCTTCAACACTTCAGGGAAATCAAATATGATTTATGAAAAAAAATTAATAAAAATAAATTCCTAAGGCGGAATTTTAGCAGCATAAATCTTAGGCAAACATTTATCGACAACTATAATTAAAATTTCGAACAGCTAATTATAAAATCAATGAGTTGCAGATCAAACTGATATGCGGTAATAATAGCACTATACCCAGCCGAGACGAACATAGAACACGCCTGTGGCAATTGAGAGTTCGTGTAGTACAAATTAATTAATCTCGTGTTGTTGAAGTAGTAATCATTACACTAAGCTTAAATTATTGGTGCGCAGATTAGCATACATTCACTTTAAGTTAGCTTCTTATCATAAATAATGCGAAAATTCTCGTGACTTCTAAGCGCTGATGTTAAGTCTCCATCCGGTGGGTTTGTGGGAATATTATACAACTTGAATGAGTATATCTCAGATCACGTGTCAGTTCCATGCAGTTAAGAGTTTTTCCGAGTGGAGGAAGCGGTGGTGTATGAGTGACTTATGAACAATAATTAAAAATGTCTGAATTTTTCCATTTACTGTCTATTATAGCAATACACACCCAAATTTTCAAACTAAGTTCTAATAATATGTATTAACAGCGTAAAGGTGTTACATGATGAGTTCAACTGTAAATTTTTATGCATAATAAGCATTGATATTTACAAGTTATCGAAATGGCTTAACACATAATAAAAGCTATTGGTTCCTTGAGGTATAACAAGAAGTCATTAGTTTTAATGCTCAGAAGGCAGCTGATTTAAAAGCAGCTCAGTTGACTAAAATTACTTGTTATACTTTAAAGTAAAAAAAAAAACAAAACAAGAAAAACCGCCACTTCGGTTGCACTGAGACTGGACAAGAAAAGGACGTGTGAAAAATTTCAGATCGATCACTAAAACTGAGGGACTGGTTATACTCGAATATTCTGAAGGACAGACAGACGACCATGGCTAAATCGACTCAGCCCGTCACGCTGATCTTTTATATATATATTTTATAGGGTCTCCGACGTTTCCTTCTGGCTGTTACAAAAATCGTGGTAAACTTAATTTGCCCTGTTCAGGGTATATATATTTGTTTATCATGTTAGTTGTTGAAAAAAAATTATTAACATAAAATGAATTTATTTTTCAAAGCTTTACAAAAAATGATTTATAAGCGCTAATCACAATCAATTTATCTATCTTTCGCCATAACAAATTTTAATTTATTCTTGTGTTTTGAAATGTATAAAAATTATTGCCATTAAAATAATTTATTAAAGCTGTCTAGCTAGTCTAACAATGGCGTCCATGAATTCAATACACTAAATTGTTGCTATTTTTAAAGAGCATATTAAAAGCGTAATTTTTTATATTTTTATAGTTTGTTTAATGAGTTTTTGCCAAATCCGCATACGTCATATTAGGAAATTTGATATGTATTTTTTTACGCAACACCCATGAAAATTTCATAATAAAACAAAAAACTTTTAATAGTCGATAAAAACAAAGAAATTGTAAATACATATAAAAAGTTATGCAAATATACGTACATAAAACAAACTATGCAATAAAAATTAAAATAATGAACAACATTAAAAAAAAACAAAAAAAAAAAAATGGTTGTGGAAACCAGATTTATATTTAACGTCAATAAATCTACAAAATGAAAAAAAAAAAATTATAAAATCGAGCTACAACCTGTCCGACATCGTGAAATTTATGCAAATATATACCGATTTTTGAAATGCAGACAATCCCGCTTTGTTGGAAACAGCTGCTATTAACTTTGCGATTTCGTAACTTCGTAGGACCATAGATGTTTAATGAGATTGTGGTCTGGACTCTAAGGAGGATAAGGCCATTATTTAAAGTGAGTTTAGCTGATTATGGAGTTAAATTATTTTTTAATATTGACAAGTAGTCAATTCTTTACATAATTCCTGCAATGAAAACAAAATTACCGACGCAATTTGCTCCCACGGCACTTCTTTGCTTCCAGTGCACCCCACGCCAAATGCAGCCTTAAACATGCTTGACAGTATTATTTAAATTTTTATCTTTCAGCGCTTATATATATCTACGCCATACAACCATCAGATCCAAATAAATTCAATTTAGGCTTATCTGCAAAAACTAGTAAATGCCAAAATTCGTTATCATGGTGATTATTCTATTTGAAATCGTAAACGTTTCGCAATATTTCTCTTCAATAACTGGTGTTTACGTTATAAAATTAGGTGAAACCAAGGAGTTCCAAATAGTTTAAGGCAATGCTAGCTTCCCCCAATGCCCTGGTAGTTACTGATGTTTTGAAAATATGGCCTATTTTGCAAGTACTTTTGCTCTCTTGCCATTATTTGACTACCAGTAAAAAGCTTGTAAATCTTGAGATGTTTGTTTGTTCACGAGTTTTTCTCCAAATAGTACAGTTTGCAAATACGCAAATAATACCAGAAAAAATAACGGTACCTACTAGATAACAACGTGAGTGTACATGTTTTTCTTTGGTCGCTCAAAAGTGAGAGATTTTAATTTTTTGCAATGGTTAATATCCAAATTGATTCAGTATAAACATTTTATAAAAAAAAAAAACGAAAAATAAATAAGATTCACATTCTGTTAGTCTTGGTTGCTGCCTAAAATCTGAAATAGTTTAAGAGAAAAGTCACTTAAAAGTTAAACATCTCTCTATACAACTGTTTTTTGGTTCACTGCACTCTGTTCAGGATATATAAAAAAACATAATGTGATTAAAAATTAAATTTATGTATATTAGTCCTTTAGCTAATCTTTTATTAAAAGTTTTTAGTTGTAGAACAATAATGAAACTTATTCTCCTCTCTTTTCAGTTCTGCATCGTCGCTTTATGTATTCTGGCGCCGTTGGCCAGCCTCAATCTCGGTGTTCAAGCACAGGAAGGCGTCAACAATTACCTCGACGTGGAGACGCCGAACTTTTTCCAATATAACTCGCCACTGCGACGACCGGAAAGTTTGCGCTCGCCACAATACTTGGATTTCCTCAGCACACTGTATCGCAATGATGCCGCCAAAGCGGATATATTGCGCCCGTACGTGAGATCACGTCGTTCCGTAGCCGATGCGCCGCTCACTGCGCCTTTGGATATGTCGCTTTCGCCGTTAGCTGCCGTTGCAGCGTCTGGCTCTGCGCCACTCGATGAGCGTCCACGTCGTGCCATTGTCTTCCGTCCGCTGTTCGTCTACAAACAGCAACAGATTCGCCGGGAGAACCTGTCGAAACATCGCCGTCGTGTGTGAAGTGATTGTGTCAAATAGAACAGGGTCAGCGACCGGTTCTTGGTTGCGGATATCTGAAATACACTGCGATCTTATTATATTATTTTTTAATGTTTACTCGTATTTTGTATATTTATGAAATTACACTTTGTTGTTGACATCGCTTGCCTATTCTTGCATTCACTGTGCACCGACTTCCGTTCGCCATTTCTTCTTTATTGCTTAACATGAAATTAAATCTGTCGTTCACCATTTTCTGTTCTGCACATTTTGTCGCCTTAATTTAAAGAAATCAAAAAAACTAGAATAAGCGAGAACTTCGTCACTAAACATTGGCCATCGAAAATTTCGAAAAACTTTTTTCTGTACATAATTATCTACATGTGCATTTACATATGTACTTAGTAAATTAGAATTACCCATTATTGTCTAAGTATGTCAAAATTAAAAAAGTCCTTAGAATGGAAAGAAGAGTATTGCTCTATGCAGCCTACTTTTAGGGGCGAATATTTGTTACTAGAAAATGAAACGAGTGTATTTTTAAGGCTTGTTGAGTTGTTAAAAAAAGAATAGAAAGTTAAATTAAAGGAAATTGTTAGAACTAATTCAAGTAGAAGAAAAGAAAGTGCACTAAATCACAATATATGACTTGTAAAATTAATAATATGTATGTAAATAAATAAATAAATAAAATTTTATATCTCAAAAATCTTGTATTTTATGACTTTTTTCGTATATTTTTTGAAAAACTTTTACTTTTTAGATCAGGATAGATAATGTTTGAAAGGAAAAAAAATATAGTGGTATGAAACCCATTGGAATCTTTCTTTTCATTTAATAAAAATGAAATGAACAAGTAAGGAAGGGCTAAGTTCGAATGTAACCGAACATTTTATACTCTCGCAAAATCAAATGGTATACTCGTTTTAGATTTCTTTGTGGACCTCGCCGCCTTCTTCGGTAAAAAGTCAGCTATAGGCACTAGGGTCCACATATTCAGTATCTAGGGGCTTGAACAGTTTTGGTTCGATTTAGACAATTTTTGGTTTCAAGGTGGCATACTTCAAACGTATTATTCACGCAAAGTTTTACGCCAATTTTTTGTACTATCAGAATGTCAACGAAAAAAACCCTTACAAACTTTTAAAAAGCAGATATGTATATACATCTCTATGGTCAGTATTCTGCATTCATAAAATGCAAAAAAGACCCTACCAAACTATTCAAACTTGTTTTTTTTTATTTTATCTACCTTATATTTCGTAGTAGCACAGACTATTTCCTTAAACTAAAATATTTTGAGTGCAAAATGTATCTGATTTTCGATTCTGTTTCTATTGATTTTAAAACTGATGATTTACTCAAGGAAGCTACTGTTCTGTAGTGCTTAGGTTTTTGCGTATAATTTGATATTTTTATCTAGCGAGTATATACCCGAAAAATGCTGTTGTTTCAACCTATTATCATCCATTACCTTGAATGTTTCTACCATAAAAGGGAACTATGTATGTATGTAAAATATCGCCAGTGGACTGAAACTATAACAGTGAAAAGAATAGAAAATCATCTAAATTATTTGAAATTAAGACTGAAAACAACTTTGAAGCAGCAGTCAACTCGGCACAGACTCAATCTTCGAGTAATTACATTTTTGACATTGCTCTATTCTGCAGATTATAGATTAGATTGCGTTTGACCGCGGAAATCTACAAACGATCCTGCCTATATCTGAGTAATAATAAGACGCATCTCTTACTAATTTGATCTATTTTGTCAGGCCCATTCTACTCGGGATATTATATACCTATACATATACATTATAGAATTTAGTTAAGAAAACCCCATACAAATGTGAAGAAGTAACAGTTAGTAGATAGTTAGCAGTATTTTTGTTACTTTGAACACTTGAATGTCTGTGACTCATTTAATAATTAGTAATGAATAAAATTATTTTAAGCACAAGTTACACTACTATTAATCTACCACACAATTTGAGCTTTCGCATCTAGCTTTTATGCTCAATTTGAACACAATATGCTTAGCGACATATCTACCATACATAAGTCGTATGCCAGTTATAATTGATGAAATTAAATTTTGAAGTTCGTGCCGAAAATTAGAAATATCTGCATAAAGAATAAATAAAGCGTTTAATACACATGTTTTTTTGCTTCATACCTTTATATTAAGATTTCGAATAAAAAACAGGATGAGCATCACGTTGGAAAAAAAATCATATTTTGCATAATACATATAAATAATAATAAATCTAATAAATTGCTGATATATTTTTCTTAATTTTGCGGTATTGAGACTTTGGATTTTCTCGCACCAGAGAAAAATAATAATATTCACTGGAATTGGCTAGTTAAGAACAATGGATGGAGTTTGAGATTCGTAAGGTGTGTGCTACCTTGACCTTGTGAAAATTTTATATCAAGCCTTATAAATTAGGAATCGAAATTTAGTAAGCTAGAGGGTACCAATAAAAATTTTTTGAAATAACGTCATTGGATTTAAGTGATTCCTGCACATAAGTGCGATTAAGGTTTCGACCAATATCAAAGAAGATTATTGTTTTCTTCTCCGACAAAGATGAAGAATGTCACTGAAAAAAATCTGATTAATGACTAATTCTTTCATTAATGGGTTTATATACAGTTAGAAGGTCGAATAAAAGTGAATTTTACAGAAGTTTTTCTGAGAAAACTTTTAAATCGATGGATCCACAAATTTATACACATGTTAACGTATCATTTAACTATATCTTAAAACTTAGTACTAGTAAAAATATTTATTTGAATAAGAGCTACAGCTGAACTCCGGGAGCTCCTGTAAAAAAGACATTTTGCGTTGATCACTATATCTCTGAACTGGATCATCTGAAATTAAAAAACCAAATAGATTTCGTTAAAGTATATATACAGCTATAACAGCGTCAAATATAATGTAGAAAAATAAACGCCTTGAGTCAACGTACAAAGCTTTGAACCCTAGATTACAGCATCTATTTGCAAACAGAATCATATCTAATTTGTATGCAGTCTAAGTTATAAATAGTATGGAAAATTCAGGCCATGTTGATGAAATACTGAGGTTAAAAATTTGTTGAAACATCACTTTTAAAAGTATTTCTGTATTAAAAAATAAGAAGACTATCGAAATCTTTTCGTTCGAAATATTTTCGCATATCTTGCGAATAAATTTTTTAACAAACTAATTTTTCGGCAAATAGTTAACAAAATATCACAATACCACATAATATTTTTGTGAAGTACAAGTTTAAAACACCATGTTTAGAATTTGCAGTGTCCATTGGTTGATTGATTTTAGATGCAAATAAATCGAGTAGCCTTAAATTCCGTTTGCTTCAATTTCCCACTGGGCTTTTACTAATAAACATTATTTTAGAATATTTTTAGGCGTAGTAAGAACTTTTATGATAAACAGCCTTCAGAGAGGGCTAATATAATTAAATAATATTATATTACCATTCCCTGTATGTTTAGTTGTTAAGAGCTTTTTTGAATCATAGCTCTGAGATGCAGATATACATATGTATATGTATGTATGATATAAGTCAGTTCAGTACATGGGGCTATGTGAACTAATGACTCGATTGTACCCATTTTTACCACCAGGATTATTTATTATTACCAAGTTTAATTGTTACATCTTAGAGATTGACTGCTATTTACTAAGTTATAGTCCGATTTGGACCATTATGAGACATTATAAGGTATTTTAATGATATTAAATGTAGGAACTAAACATAAAATTGGTCCATACGTTCCCATTACCCCAATATACTCAATATAGTGCCTCGAAGTCAAAAATGGATGAAACTGTTCATATTATATATTTTCATTTCCCTCTCATGCTTAATATACTGAATTCAATCGCTTCGTATGACTTTATTTTATTTTACATTTAAAATATATAAAATTATTATAAAATTACACTAGCAATATGCGACTCGGTTGTAATAATTCAAAAATTCAACTTGATCTCAGCAATAGTTTTGGAGATACAGCCTTGAAAAGTTGCGCGCTTGAGTTCACTTACAACTTTAAACGTGTTTTTCTCGAAACTGTGTTTTCAAAGTCGGTCGGTGATCAGAATTAATAATTATATCTTATTGAAACTAGGAAAACGGCAAAAAAGTGAGAAAAGAAAGCAAAAGTTTGTAGACGGGCCTAACTGGATCACTTCCACGCCCAAAAACACCATTAATCGAAAACGTATAAAATGCCATAACTAAGCCGTAAATCAAGATACCGAAGTCAAATTTGGCACAACGAATCTTTAATGTGTGTTATAGGGCATCTGCGGTTTGCAAATCTTTAAAAAATGGGTATGTACTGCCCCCTAATAAGTTTAATGGAGATATCTTCCAAACAAATAAAGCAATATCATCTAAATTTGCAGAGGTTAAATTTTTTTAACCCTTCTTACGATAGTGTGAAAATGGGTGATAACCCTACCTACTCTCCATATAACGGTTTTGTTAATAATTAATAAAAGTGTGATAATTCAATAAACAAATTGTCAGAGACATAATATTTTTCATCTAGTATGACACAAGGAAGCTTCATAGGAGCCGGCGTAAAAAAAGGGCGATGGGCTTGGCCCCGCCCACTTTTAGGTGAAATAACATATCTCAGGATATGCTCAACCAATTTCAACCAAATTCAATACATAACATTTTTCTGATATTCCTATGCTACAGTGCGGAAATGGGGGAAATCGGACAACTTCCCATATAACACTACTTTAAATTTCATCGGATTCTTTCACATTTCAGTATGTACGAATAGTGCCTTTAAAGTGTGCCATTTATGACCAAAAATTGTTCAAATTAAACCAAAACTGTTCAAGCCTAGATACCAAATATGTGGACCCCAGTGCCCATAGTTGACTTTATATTGAAAATATTGGTCAATGTGTAAGATATACAATTGAAATTCGGAAATAGTCCTTTACTGATAATAGTAAGTCTGAATGTCAAAAATGGGTTGAACCGGGTCAATAATTTTTTTTAGCCCCCATGTACTTAATATAAATATTTTTGAACTTCCGGGTGACTTTATATCGCATATATCAGCCAAGATGAGAGTTATCTTGACAAAAATGAGAGAGCGTGTTTTTCTAATTACAGTGTATCTTTGTGTCTAAGATGGATAAATTAGGTGAAAACTTGTCCTATCCCTTATATAATATAACTAATATCTGAATCATGATATGTGAGGTACCTTAATGAAACCCAGAAAGCATTTGTGCCATGTTAGTAGTTTGTGGTATTGGTAAAAATAGATAAACATCGGGTCAATACTATCCCCAACTCCTATATACTATATATACTGATTTTCGTATTTCTAACAAGTTTTATGGCGATTATGTCGTTAAGTGCGTAAGTTATATATTTCAAAAGTTGCTTGAAAATTCGTTCTCAAGTATACCTGAGCAAGGTCCAAATTATTGCAATCAGCCCATAAAATAGACTTTAAATCGTTCAGGTAGGCCAAAATGTATTATTTAAATTAAATTAAATGGACAAGTTCTCTTAGAAATTATGTGGTTTATCGCTGAATTAGGATGGAACTGGTCTATACCTTGGTTTACACCTCATATCTCTAATATAATGAATTCCGATTCTGTAGTTGACGTTTTCCACATCAACTCAATATATATTGAATTTAACTTCTTCGGTTGAGTTGATATCATATATGGTATATCTCGTTTGAAGATGTTTTCAATATAATTTTAGCTGACACGAACTAAAATTTGGCAATAAAATTAAGTTTAAGTTAATGATCTATTAACGATTTCTTCGAATAATAAATGTTTAATTCTTTTGCAGCATTTTTTATTTAATATAAAGTTTTGTCAGTACTGGAGGCATTTGATTCTTACAAGTTACAAGAGTATAAATTTACGTTATCCGGGACTACCGGAAATGACGTCGTAATGAGCAAGTTTTGAATATTTTAATTTGAAAATTTCATAAAATCTTGGTAAAATATGTATCTTTGGGATAATAGAAAATTTGAGTAAAATAATTCATTTTTTATATGAAAAAATTTTTTAAAATAGGCCGTTTTTTGTGCGGCGAAACCCATGTAAATCCTTAAAACAAGAAAAAAAACACGTAAACTTCGACTGCACCGAAGCTATAATACCCTTCACAGGTGCCTTTTTTTTATCATAGAAGGGTCTATAAATATCTTTATCAACTTTTTGATTGATCAATTTGAATGACAGTTTTAAGCTATAGTGATCCGATCTGAACTGTAACATTCAAATATGCTACTTTTGCAAACTGTGAGAGTATTTAACATTTAGCTGCGCACGAATTTTGCTTCTCCTTATTTCATTGAAATAATAATCGAGAGATAAGTATGCACATTGTACAGAAATGTGCATTATACGAAAAAGGGGCGTATAGTAAAGAATATTTATAATAAAATTACTTTACATTATCACATAAACAATTAAAAGTAAGAATACAAACAAACATTCTCTCCGGAATTTCAGGAAAAAATACTATTATACATTTGGAAACGGTTCTCAAATTGCAACACTTGCCCGAGTAGAAAAAATGTGAAACATATATATTTTATTGGCTAAAAAATACGTTGTAGTAAATGGTTTAACTTTTTGCGCAAAAATATTAAAATTCCTTCCGCAGATTGGAGGGAAAGTGAACTTTTGCAGCCGCTCGCCTTCCCTTTTGTTTAGATCAAATATTTTAAATAATAATATTGTTTCATCTTCTTTTCGACAAATATGTAATTAATCGAATTATTAAAGAACAATAATAAACATTCCTAGTACCAATTGTACTTATTTATCCGGTTGGTTGGTTAGTTATACCTAATGTTGCTTATAATTTTGAGTCACTGCCACTCTCTGTTTGACCACACAAAATGAGAGCAAGTAATATAAATAACACACACGAAAATAACGGACACAGCATTTTGTCACAATCCATCACAGAGATGTTTCGCCAGTGTGCAATTCTTATGACGTTTGCTTTATTGACGTTTTGTCAATTTAAGAACGCAACTGGAACTACTACACAGTATCTATCGACGAGTTGTGCTGAAGCAGTCCATTTCTCTGGCCGTACACCCTCCAGCGGCATATATCAATTACGTGCACAGTTGCCTAATCGGGGTGACATATCATTTTACGTTTATTGTTTACTCGATCCAAACGGTGGCGAAGCCTGGACGGTTATACAGAGACGGCAGGATAAGAGCTTACACTTTAATCGTAACTGGAGAGACTATAAAAACGGATTTGGCAACTTGAATACAAATTTCTTCATTGGTCTTGATAAATTACACGCTCTCACGGCACCGAAACTGCACGAATTATGGATTCAATTAAAGGATTTCGACGATGTCGAGAAGAATGCTACATATGATAGTTTTGCTATAGGCAGTGAGGAAGAGAAGTACGCATTAACGGTACTGGGCGCTTACTCAGGCACAGCTGGTGATGCCTTGACTGGTTGGCACGACGGTTTTAAGTTCAGTACGTACGATGAGAAAAATAGCGAGAGAGATTTAAACTGTGCAGAAAAGTACAAGGGTGGTTGGTGGTTTAGCGAAGGCAGTTATTGCCACAAGAGGTAACGTTAGACACCATGAAGGCACATGGAGAGATCTAATTGCTATTTTTAACTTTCAGCCATTTAAACGGTGCCTATAAGAATACGTCTCTCACAGCTGATGGTGAAGGTCTGATTTGGTCATCTTGGCGCGGACGTAAATACTCTTTAAAGTATGTACATATGGCTATAAGGCCTAAGTATAATTCATTTGTATAAACAGGTTAATGGGTTATATTTGTGAATAAATATCAATGTTTAAAAAAATAGTAGTGACATCAACATTACATTTGTCGACGACTGTTACGGTAGTATATATACTATAAATCAAAGAGTTTTTAACAAAAAAAGATTATGTAAGGATCAAATGTGAAGATTAGTGTTTGCACGACATTGTAATAAAATATGTTGCATGTGAATTCAACATTCGCTATTTAACGAAATTTGTAATCAAATTAGAAGGGAAGGGTTAGAGAAAAACAATGAACATTTGCAAAAATTTTAGGACCCGAATAATATAATCATACTCTCGCAACAAGTTCTTACAGAGTACACTAGTTTTGTTCACCTAACGGTTGCTTGTATCTACTAAAACTTATCGAGATATTTATAGAGTTATATATATGATCAAATGACGAGACGAGTTGAAATCCGAGTGATACTCTGTTCTTCCGTCTGTCCGTGTAAGAAATAATTTGAGTAAAAATTGAGATATTTTGATGAAACCCGTCGGATTACTTCCACGCCCACAAAACGCTATTAAACGAAAACCTATAGTGTACCATAACTAAACATTAAATTAAGATACTTAACTGTATTTTTGGCACAGGGGATCACAGTGATAAGGGATACTTGTTAGCTAAAAAATTAAAAAAAATGTTAAAATTGGGCCCTTTCAAAGTGCTGTAGAGACGGGCTTATAGGAGCAGGAATAAAAACTGGTCTATGGGCGTGGCACCGCAGTATATCTTAGGAACTACTTGACCAATTTAAATAAACTTTGCAAAAACAGTGCCCTAAATTTAATCTAATGCGCAAAAATTGTGGATATCTGACTACAAATTTTCATAGATCCCGACGCCATATATGTGAACCTCAGTGCATATGGCTGTTTTTTTCTAACATTTCGGTCAATCTGTTAGTTCTAGTACTGAAATTTGTGGAGAATATTTTTGTGATTGCAGCATGCTCTTGTGGTCAATTGGATCAATACTTCCCTTAGCTCGCATATATGCACCTAATATAAAGACCTTCGAAGTTTCGGTTGATTTTATACCGCTATTTTCAGTATATAGTCAGCTATACGAGTATGGTGCAGTAATTATTTGGTCTATAAAAGAAAAACTAACATTTTGTAAAAACTATAACTTATTTCTCAGTTGAATCTCCTTTTAGCTCGATATGGAATGACAATTTCTTTGACAACAAAAGTGTGAGCCTAGCGTTTTTATGTTGGTAAAGCACTTCTGTCATCAAAGGGTATCTACCTCTTGGATCCCGGGAAACTCATGAGACGCTAGAACATTACCTTCTCGAACCTCACTTGTGAGCACAGTGGGCCTAATGATGCGTTAAGTGCCGCCGATTTCCTGTTCCTTTCTTTTCAACCAACCAAGAATAAAGACGCTTTGTATAAGTTAACTTTAATTGTTTATTAAGTTCAACAAGCAACAAAAAAATAATTCGCGAAAATAGATTAATTGCAGTTCGCTGTGTTGATAAAATATTCTAGATATTTTAGTGGTTAGTCCCAAGTAAACCAGTTGTATCAGTATATATTCAATATAGATTTTAATTAATTTCTTTTTATGAATCTACAGAAGTATAGAAATGGAAATTAGATGTTTCAGATATAAGCAGATATAAGGGTGATTTGAGGAAAGATTCACAAAATATTTTGGATAGAAATAATGATGTGGGGAACATGTTTGGCTGTTGGTTCTTTAATTTGAAGACAAGAAAAACGCTCACTAATATATGTGCTCTAATGCAGTCTTTACCCTTTTTAACTGATAATGAATAAAGGCAAAAACACTCAAATATATAACACAGTCTGTTAAGACTTCACTTACATAAAAAAATAATTCATATGTTTGAAAACTGGGCATATCCGAGCGTAAGACTGTAGTCGTTTCTGATCAGCTTGCCATGAAGTCCACTATAATAAAATAAAAAGAGGATACATTTTAATTGGAAATACTCGTACAAGAAGGCTTCGTATCATTTCCATGTCTCGATACGGAGTCGTATGAATGCGAAGAATTTTATTGCTTGCTTTAGATTAATTTAAATACCAGATTGTTTTAATAACGACATATTCAACTGCTTGTTATTCAAAATATAAACTATTCTTGATGGCTATAAGCTCTTTCAAAGAAGTTCATCGTTTTATTTTTTACATAGCACATAGCTGCAATATTGACCGATATATACAGTAAAAAGTTCACCAGAGGAGGGAATTTAATATATATTCAATATATTGGATATAAAGCAACGAGATGACCTGCTATAACGACCCAATTGGTAGAAATATATTCTATTACGAGTATAAGGTAAATATTCTCACAATAACCAGTAAAGAAAAGCAAAGTTTGGTGTCATAAATAAATCTCACAAATTTTCGCTATAAAGACCGAATTGCGCCATTTATTGGTAAAAAATACTTTGAAACCTTGTACCGAAAGTTTTTATATTCTGTGTGTAACTGTATTTAGTCAGTGATATGGTCTTTCAAGGGAAAGCTGAAGAGAGTCTAGGGCCCTGACTGGTCCGAACACATAATTACACCGATTTTCCATTTTAACTATTAAACCAATAAAATAATGTTTATAGGACCCTTAAGTGTACCTAAAACCACAAAATAACCACATTTTTTAAATTCTAGGATGGCCTACTAATCGACAGTTATAGTAATATCTTGCTACCACCTGAAAACACCTTTATATTTACATTTATATATACCTGCACATGTAGATGTTGCATGCAATTCAATTACTTGCTGACAGCTTATTAACTTAAACCATGCTCAGCACAGTCATTTGCTCCCTCCTATGCAAAAGCTAATTTCGTATTCATATGCATATTTATTGTATAATATTAGCCGAAACGACATCTTCGTTTTGCATTTTTGCACACATTTCCCAATATTTATTTTTCACTATTCACCTTTTACTATACTACTACATATATATATATATTATATGCATACCGATGCAGGATATCCATGTGTTTATCAGTCGCTTCAGCTAATGACAAAATTACTATGCAAAACTGCAAACAAACCGCAAAGCTCGTATAACTGTATTTACACCGCTCCTTTAATGCTTTGCAGCTCGGTGTCTTCGCTTTCCCCCTCGATGTTCTGCAGCCCTCGAATGCAACATTTGTTAATAGTGAGGGCACGTACGTTTGTGTGTGTGCATCTAAACCGAAGCTCATTTGTACTTGGCGCAGTTAGTTGTTAGCCATTTTTGAGTTGTCAGTTGCAGCATTTGCTATCTTTTAACATTTTTCACCTTCCTTTCGATACGCTTTGTTTTCCGTTTGTTTCTCCATCTTTATTTGTGTACATTATTTCTTCATATATTTGACAACTTCATTAGCATTGACAGGTGAACGTGTTGCACGCACGTTTGGCTTTGGTCCTAACACGTGACTTGGTAAATGCAGTATTTTTCATAGTTTTGGGTATAGTAAGGGCTCTTAAAATTTGTAGAATTTGAATCTTTAATTATTGCTTAAAGTGTGTTTAAGCTGTGCTGAAGAACTCAACTACTGTTACAAAAAAAAAAAAAAGAGGTCGAAATCGTTAGTATACAATTATAAAATATATTATAATTGTAGCTTAATAAGCCGAATTTATTTGAGTTTAGGCAGTCTAACTGCTGCCAGCTGTAAATTTCAGCGGTACTTCTTAGTGGGTAATGAGTACTTGTCTTTTCCATAGGTTGTGTTTTCTAAACAGTGTTCGAACCAGAAAAAACTTTTTAATATGCAAAAAACATCTCGAAACCCCTTTTTATAGGTCATAGTTCCTATAATTCCCACATTTAGAGAGCCACTGAAATTTTTAACAAAAACACGAATTATTAGCCAAGACAATGCTAAAATATCTGAACAAATTTTTCAGATAGGACTACTTTAGCATATGGCTGCCATATGAACCAACCGATTAAAAACAAGTTCTGGTATGGAAACTTTTTTATTTGTGACGGTATGTGGGTCGATTAACTGTATATATCCTGTATAATAAAACTCTTTTTTCGTCTCAGAGTAAAGTGTTGTCCAATATATCACAGAACAGAGCAATTATGTAATTTGGCTTGTAAGGATTGAGTCTAAACAGGTATAAGTGCAACATCCAACAGTATCCAGATCATAACTGGGAAATATTTACGCTAGTCCGGCAAAGTTGCTTAAGCTCTTTATTTGCAATGGTTGGTGCTAGGGCACCATAAGTGGTATTAACTACATATAATAGAGTTCGCAAAGGTTAATTATCACGCTTTGGATGACATTTAGGCCCCATGCCTAGGACATCTCATTTGATATCTAGTTTCGAAAGGTCTCAAATTTTTTGATTAATTGACTTGGCGAAAAGAAAGACAGATCGCATATGAACCTTCGGTCCAAATGATTATCCAAGTTGGAGAAGGTTTTGGTAGACCAGAACTTGTTTACACTAGATGAGGGGTTACATACCGCTGGTGATTAAATAATTTTTTGCTATCGTATAAACCGTTAAAGTTAGCTCAACAAAAGTAGGTGAGAACATTGCAGAAGTATTTCAAAACCTCATGCCATGATGTGATCAATATAAGCAAGTTTAACTTACATATAACGGTATCGTGAAAAATTTTTACCATTCCAATAACTCCATGAGAATTTTGAAATACATACGATGTACTAGTTCGTCATACAAACTGGTTTAAATATTGGCGCAGCTCACTTTTAGTTGAAATTCCATATATTGAAAACTACTCGACCAGTTCTAACTACAATAAATTTTGTATTCCAAATTGCACTCTATTTGGATCTGACTTTCGTATAGTCACAGGAATAAAATTGATCAGAAAGTAATACTGAACTCACAGTTTGGATATGAAAATTTTCAGCAAGTTTGAGAGATATTGTCGGTTAAGTTATTAATGAGTATGGCACGTGCATGTAAATGCATACATATATCTATATATTTTTTATTGACTAAAAAGTAGTAAATCGACTTCGGTATTTTTGACATGTTCATTGTATCTTTATAAATATAATAAAATGTACTGAGATGTGTATATAAATACCGTTACAATAAGGAATCAGTGAGAACATGCTGGATCAGTGGGAAACTGCAGCAAGAAGGAAGCGATTTACATATGCGTTTTCTTCAGTAAATGTGTTGACTTTAGCAGGAAATAAAGGAAGAAGCTGTGGTATAAG